CGCTACAAGCGGCTCACTTTATATTTTCACCGTGCTGTTTAGCCAGCTATCCCTTGGGCCTGGGCGGCGCGACATCTTTCTGAGTGCTTGCCATTCAGTGGTGATTTTGAATAGATATATCTTATTAAATGTTTTGTTGTGTAGTATTACGAGTTGTGCCGTATTTTGACGAGCCCGTAGGGTGAGTCAAAATACAATCAACGAGTCAAAATACTCAGCGACACTACACAACAATACGTCTATTAAGAGATTTGTTATCCCACACGCCAAACTTTTGCTTCAGTGCAGGCGAATTTCGCCCAAAAGGTTCCAACCAGCTGTTCTCTGGAGTTCAAATACCGCGAGGTATTTGTACTCGTTGTGGCCGTTATTTGTACTCTACGAAGCACAGTTGGATAATAAATATATCTTATTAGACGTTTTGTTCTTTGTTGTGTAGTATCGCTGATTATTATATGGCTGTATAATTTGGATATATCAACAAAGTTGAAATGGTAAATTGGCCACCGTAACGATTACAAAAGCTGACGTTTCAAGCGTTAGCCCTTCGTCTTTCGCTCCGACAAAGGGCTAACGCTTGAAACGTCAGCTTTTGTAATCGTTACGGTGGCCAATTTACCATTTCAACTTTGTTGATATATCCAAATTATACAGCCATATAATAATCAGCGATACTACACAACAAAGAACAAAACGTCTAATAAGATATATTTATTATCCAACTGTGCTTCGTAGAGTACAAATAACGGCCACAACGAGTACAAATACCTCGCGGTATTTGAACTCCAGAGAACAGCTGGTTGGAACCTTTTGGGCGAAATTCGCCTGCACTGAAGCAAAAGTTTGGCGTGTGGGATAACAAATCTCTTAATAGACGTATTGTTGTGTAGTGTCGCTGAGTATTTTGACTCGTTGATTGTATTTTGACTCACCCTACGGGCTCGTCAAAATACGGCACAACTCGTAATACTACACAACAAAACATTTAATAAGATATATCTATTCAAAATCACCACTGAATGGCAAGCACTCAGAAAGATGTCGCGCCGCCCAGGCCCAAGGGATAGCTGGCTAAACAGCACGGTGAAAATATAAAGTAGCGTTGAATTTAAAAAAAGATCATAGCTCGTATGTTTTTTAACACTTAGTTTTGTCGCGCGCTTGACTGACAAAATCTTGGTGCCCAGGTTCACCTTCTTCAAATCACGCGGGATGTCAAAGAGTGACGACACACACAAACAGTTACCATGGAAGCGCCACAAAAACAACTGAAAAAGTTTTGCAACTCGTTTCTGTAAAGTACTTCTTCTATCACAGGATAAAATGTAGTTTTCTTGTTGATCGAAAGCTTTAAAAAATTATGATCTCAGTTGCAAACCTAGCATAAATAATGTAGACGACAAACGGTATCTGAAAAAGTCCTACTCTGGAGAGTTTCGGGTTAAGAAGCTTGTGGTGCTGGTGCCTTTCACTGAAGACAAACGCGAGCAACTGGTCGGTTCGTGTGAGGTCTGGATCACTGGTAATAATTTGGGCGTACACCCAAAAAGGTTGGAGATCAGCGTTTGCGCTTCTTAAAAAATCATGATCGTAATATTTCACTACCTTTCATCTACCGATCCATTTCCCCCTCACCATCCTCAACTTAACACTTGTTTTTTCTTGGTTCAATGTTGCCTCTTGGGAGTTTTCTCTCCTTATTAAGGCGGGGTAAACCTGAAATTTGCTCAAAAACTCAGTTTTTTGTTTTCCTTGGATTTGTAGCTTTGGGTATTCAACTTTACTATGGAAAAATAATTTTCCATTTATTTTCATTATTTTTACCTTTTTAAGCGATTTCAAAATTCCCCCTCTGTAATGGCGTGGTTACCATGGCAACGAGAAGAGCATTTTATTTTTTTATTTTTCAGTTGTTTATGACGTGTTATTCTGGCTACCAAGCTCCAAACAGGCAGTATTTAGCGAGAGATACTTTATTTAGTCTTATTTAAATGCTTTTCTAGGTTCAAGACCATTACAATATAGAATTAGAGGCAGTTTTTTTACACTCAGTGTACTCAGAGCAGTAAATCAAAGGAAAAGTTATCAGAAATGGTCGGAGAGAAAAGTAGATCTGTCTACAGGAAGAAAAGAAAGAAATTTTTTGGGAAGGCGAAAGCAGGAAGAAGAGTCTGAAGAAACTGCTCCTGATGTTGACGAAATCGCCGCATCAACTCCGAGTACTTCCCGGGATGAAAATCAGCTTTCCGACTCAGATTCTGGAGAAACCGTTGGTTCCTCCAGAAAGAAAATGAAGTATGCCGACGAGGAGCTTCTTTTAGACAGCGCTGATGATGAGTAGATTAATAAATGTGAAAAATTTATCCACTGCGGTCTCAAATGCTCACGTATGTGAGAAAGGTGAGAAATTTTTTTTAAATCTATGTCGTTCTCTGTTCTCGATTATGACTTATTTCCCTTATCATATCGACCCTTAGTTCCAGTTTTTCCCTGCCAAATTACACAGATGTATATATTAAATCTTGGATCGGGTAAGAGAAAGATTTTTAGGTATTGTGCATATACACTGTACTGTAAACAAAAAATTATGGAGAAAAATCACAGAATGTATTATCTGACCTGAGGTCTTTACTTTACTTACAATAAAATTGCCCGATTTATCTTACAATTCTCACTTGATTTGTCTTTCTAGGCACCTTAACTTTTGAGGAAGATAAAAGTGCAAGAGCAGGGCTGATGTAAATAAATGAATAAATAAACTTTAATAGCTAACACAATTACTGGTAACCCAGTAGTTTACATTGTGGGCTGTAGTTTACATTGTGGGATGTCACAGTTTTCCCTTCAGTGCAGTTCCTGTGAGGAATCCAGTCTACTTCCAACATCCAGTGGTGTGACCCAGCGAGAGAAATCATACGAAATTAACCGCCGAGTTGTCTACCATGCTATAGAGAGTGGCAGCGGTTATGAAGGCCTCGCCACATTCTGTGGTATAATGAATATGCCCTGCCTTTCTAAGCCTGCCTACTACAAACAAGTGGACAACATCGTGGAAGCTGTTGAGGATGAAGCAAAGGATGACACAAGAAAAGCTGGAGAGAGACTTTGGCAGCAGATTTTGGAAGAAAACCCAGAGAAAGATCTGGATGATACTCTGGATGCTGTTGTAAGTTGTGATGGCACTTGGGCCAAACAAGGGTTTACCTCATTAACTGGAGTGGTTTTTGTGATTTCAGTGGACACTGGGGAAGGTACAGATGGATGGTGAGTGATGGTGATAGTAAGGTCTTTAATTCTGTTGAAAATGTTTATGGTGACATCAAAGGGGAGAAATTAGACTGTGTGGGACATGTACAAAAAAGAATGGGCAAACATCTGTTAAACCTAAAGGCCAGAACTAAAGGGAAACTAGCTGATGGTAGACCTATTGGTGGTATAGGGAGACTGTCTGACACAAGAATAAAGAAGTTCCAGAAAGACTATGGACTTGCCATTTGGAAAAACACTATCAGGAAATCCAATCTAGCAAGAAGGGAGGTGGAGGTTACAGTTTATGCAATGAAAAAAGAACATTATTGCAATTCTCCAACACAATGTTAAGTCAAATGACCTTGCCAAACAGCATTGATTTTGTCCACCAGGTGAATCCTCTTGGTGTAAATGGAAGCAAGGTGAAGCAACGGGAACATCTACATACAGTAGTGATAACTGTTTGCCAGAGGTCTTTCTTGAAGTCTTGAAACCAACATTGATGACTCTAAGTGACTCTAAATTGCTAGAGAGGTGTGTGTTGGGAACAACACAAATTCCCAATGAGTGTGTCAACTCAATGGTGCGGGTACGGTGTCCCAAACATAAACACCATGGTGCAAAAGTGGTTCGGTCTGCTGCGGCATCAGCAGTCTGCCACTACCATAATGGAGCTTCCAGTAGGGTATAAATCATGGATAGGCTTTGTATCCCTGGTGGTGTTTGTACAAGAGTGGCAACACATGCAAAAGACAGTAAAAGATTGGCTAAGTCCGATTTGCAGGTTATGCAGAAGGAAAAGAGACGGCGTCAAGGGGAGCGACTTCTGCAGACTCGTCGAGAGGAAGCCCTTCGAGAAGCCAAAGGAGTTACTTATGAACCAGGATGTTTTTAAATTACTTTTAGATACTCCTGTGGACAAAATATGGACACTTGGCCCACTATAGTGGTTACATATTGTAAAAAATTAAGTTTCATTGCCATCTGTAAGTTTAAAGGCTATTTTCTCATTGCGCAAAAATTGTCTTGAAGAAAAGATATCTTGACAGCAATTTATCTGATTGATCTGAAATTTTCAGCATTTGTTCCTCTTGACAGGTTTTGTGTTATAAGCAGAGCAATTTTCCATATGATGTACATGCTTAAAGTTATGAAGTGAAACACCCCTCTGATTTCCTATGTCAAATTTAATCAATCATCATTTAAAATGTTTTTAACATATAAGAAATCCTTCTGCTTATAACAATAAGCAACATGTCTTCTTTGAATTGATACTAAAAATGTTATTTTTTATTAATTCCAGAAGGAGTTATCTTTTCTTAAGTAAGCCTTGGTAGAACCCAGCAGGTGGCACCATTAAATGAGTGGTATCCCATTACAATTGACATGTGGAGTGTGAAATATTTATTTCATGATCTTCAAGTCATAAGCTTTTTACAGGGATGAGTTTATTTAATTAATTTAATAATTTTACATATTTGTGTATTTATTTATCTGCTGTTCTTTTTCTTTGCTTTCTATTCTTATCCTTAAGCTGTAATGATCTTTTCATTTCTAATTTGCTTTAGACTCTTAACAAATTGTTGTTGTTGTTGTTGTTGTTATAGTTTGCATAAGTTTTGAATTAAATCCTAGCTATGAAAATGAGTGAAAAATGGGTATTTTTTCAGGTTTACCCCCTCCTAACCCCGTGTTGCCTTCGGATCACCATCACTGAAAAAAAAAAAAAAATCAGCATATATCGTAATCTTTTTTGTTTCAATTTTCTTTTTCAAAATCAGAGAGGTTACCCTACGATCTCCTGTACAAAAGATAACTCAGAAGCCACTTTTTATCTCCAGTTGTTCCAATCATGGATAGGCTTAGCCACAAGTTGCTTTTCGGCAACTTTTCGGCAACTTTTGAGATTTTCGGCAAATTTTTAGAATTTTGGCAACTTTTAGAATTTTCGGCAACTTTGGGCTTTTTGATTTTCTTCGAAGCCACTTTCTTCACGTTTTGAGCCGCATGCATTTCAATCCGCAAAAGTCTCCATTTTAATCCATAAAATGCACTACAATGACCGACAAGATGATGATAACTGGTGTTTTTGGCGAAAGACCGTTCAATTTTGATACGATCGAGATTCGTTGTTTAATTTGCTATCCGTTCCTCTAGAATTTTATTCTCAGTGCTTTCTAAATATCTGCCTCTCTAATACGCATCTCTGTACTCGCACAGCATTTCGATAAAAGTTTGACAAAATTTAACAGTTTTCTCGCAAATGTAATTCTGATTTCACGAGAGTAAGATGAACCGTTTGAACGACAACTCTCGTCACACGTCAAAGAGAAAACTGCGCGCGCAACTCAGTTAACATCGTTTGATCCTGACGCAACTCCCCATCACTACAATAATATACATGATCATTAATTTTACTCACCTCCCCTCAGAAGCTTCCTTTTCCTCCTTTGACTTCAATATTTTTTTGGCATGTTTTCTAGAGATGAAGAACAAAATAAGTTGTCTTACTTTTCATGAAAAACAACTCGGTGATCTCCCTTATTAAAGTCCATTCTGATGTGAGACTCATACATAATTCTAACTGACCAACGACAGACAAATAATACACGGTCATTATAACGGAGACATCCCTCGCAGCGGAAAGATATAATCAGATCAGTGTGACCTGGTGGTGTGGCGTAAACATACAAGCGGCTAAGGGCAAGTTATTTGTCAGGAAGGTAGTCCATTATCGACAATTAATTTATTGTTCGTTCACCGCTGTTTTTGCAAGTCTTTTTCTCCGTTCTAGGAAAGAACGATCTTTGCTTGTGACGCGCGGTCTCGTGATTTCGTGCTTAATAATGTCGGGGTGATACTGTTTAAATGAAAAATCTCTTTCCTCGACACTTTTCAATTTGGCTTGTAATCTCGATCTTTGATTCTCTTAATTACATTTGATAACTACAGCTCCTATGAGTGACCAGGTTTCGGAGCTAAGTAGTGCTCTAGCTTTTGTTATTGAGGTGACAATGGCCAAGCCGTCAATATGTCATTTTACTATTCAAGCACACGTGTCCAGCGTATCAAATTCATCCATGTAAAATGAATCTTATTCCAAAGACAACCTTTTTCCAATTAGTTGCTTTCTCCATCTACTGTATCCCCGAATCCACCATAAGATAAGGTGCGAGTTGGACACTGAAACAGCAAACAGTAAGTACTGTTGGCACAATCTTATCAAACTTGAGGTGGCTCTCCCAGAAGCCCGCGGTGGCTTCTTGGGTCCCCTCGCATTCTAGCTGTTATCGTTGTAAATAAATATTTTTATTGTTAAAGTAAGGCAAATAAAGATGATGACTATGAAACTATTATCTCACGGCAGGATCAATATGATCAATATCTACTTTTTCACACCTCACTTAGTAAGGCGAGGCGCAGTGGCCACATGGTAAGTGCACTCGACTCCGGATTCGAGCCCTGGCATGGCTGGGGACACTGTGTTGTGTTCTCAGGAAAGACACTTTACTCTCACAGCGCCTCTCTTTCGCGCCCAGGTGTTTTAAATGGGTACCGGCGAATATGATGCTGGGGTTAGACCCTGCGATGTACTTGCATACCATCCAGGGGGGAATAATAATTCTCCTAGTCCCTTCATGCTACGTAAACCCATCAGCCGGCCTGATGGGCCACTTGGATCGTAAACAGACTTATTTAAGCATAGTGAAATGTTCAGCAGGCAACCGTGGACGATACTCCTACTCTTGTACGTTGGATCAGCGATGATCTGATCGGCCCAAAATAACGAATATGAAATATAAATATAGAGGCAAGACCGATACAACGTAGATAGGTGAATTTTTAAGACGGAGCACTATATTTCGGCTGGCCAAACCAGCCTTCTTCAGGTGCAGTGGGAATTTACATCATACAGCTATCTATGCTTCATAGATAGCTGTATGATGTAACAGCGGAAATATGTAAAACTAATTTGATTGACAATGAGATAACAATAAAAATAGAAATAGTGAGCAAAAATAGAAATGAAGTAAGGTAAATTGGATAAATAACTAGAAACTAATACATTTCTTCGCGAGCGTTAAGGCCATCTGGATAAATAGTGTTGCCTCTTGAAATTAAAAAAGCTTCCCTGGCCTTGCGTATCGAGTTTCCCTTGGAAAACACTTTTCCGATGGCGATTAGCTCCATGTCGTGAGCAGAGTGGTTAGGAGAGGAAATGAAGTGTTCTGCCGCTGTAGTAGGTTTAGATTTAGAGTTAGGTTTATTAATGGTACGGCGGTGTTTATTAAAACGGTCTTTTAAACGTCGTTTAGTTTCTCCTATGTATTGTAAGTTACAGCGGTTACTCAAGATTTTTATCTTTTTTTTCATCAATATCCTCATTTTTTTTGACAGGCGAAAGCTGGCTCGATTACTCAAAACCACTAGTGCCACAACCCTCGCCGGAGATCAGTCAACCCGCCGCTTTTACACAGGCTAAGAGAATGGGTACCAAACTTTTTTCGAGTCATCCAAGAGCCAATTACAAGTCATCTGATGGCATATGATCATCATCGTGACTAATTATGCAGTTTCAGCCTCCTAACGCTTGGTGCACAATTTATCATTCATTATATATTTATCCTCATCCCTCGCATTTGCTGAGAGTCATATGAATCAACCAATATATAAAAAGAAAACACATTGACGAGAGTTATTCTAAACATCGAAGGTAAGTGAAGTTAGTACTAGATTGCTAAGTTTCTTTACTATGTGAAGTATAATTATTATTTTTTAAATGTTTTTTTTTAGTGGATTTAGAACTGTATTCTCTAGCAACTTAAAAGCGAAATGATCTTTAGTACTGCTCCAAGCATTCAGCTGTTCTTCTTTTGGAAAGAAAGACAAATACGAACTTAGATGGAATAAAACAATTCGCGTTTTCAAAAATAATTTTTTAAGCTGAATCGACACAAGTGCATTTATTTTTGTGACTGTTTAAACAATGACTTTGATTCTAAACGTTACAGTCTTTTTTTACTGAAGCGCTCTACCCGCACTCGTTGCTTAAATTCTAAGATTCTATTTTTTTAAATAAAGTTTTAGGCCGATAGCAAAACCCATCGGGTTTTTTCACTTATTAATGCTTTAAGTTTTGTTGAAACCCACTTGACATTTTTAGAACAACAGAAAGTTTCCCTGGTGATCAGCAATAAGTTGATTACTTATAGGTAAAAATTTGGGTAAACACATTTGTTTCATTAAACGGCTATATAAATTCCATCTTTTCATTGCATTTAATGATAAGAAAAATGTTGTACTGATTTTAAACCGATTTTCTAAACATTTTCTAAAATTTAGCGAAGTGAGAAATTTACAGTGTTCTCGTACAATCGGCTAAACAACGCTTAAATTACGGCAGAGACATAGTTTCAAGCACAATCAATTCGCTTTGATCTTACTGGTCCGTTATTCGGTCAACAACTATTTCTCTACAGTCGTTAGTAAACCAGCATTAAGAGCCTCTTTTACGAATATACTTTTAGCAGGCACGTCAATCTTTGACCGTAAATTTATGCAGTTACCGGTTAGCCAAGCAATTAAACACCAGCAAAAAATGGGGGTATTGAAATTTCTCCGTAAGCTGATTGGGTGCAATTCAAACACAAAGGGGATCCTACAAGCGGGAATGGCATTTGGCTAACCGAGAGAAAATCCCACAATAATCACAGGGGTTCTTTAAAACGAATTCTGAATTTGAGTCAAATTCAAATCGCATGCGTAATTCCTCTTTTTCTAGATGATTTTTGTTCCCTATGACTTTGAGTAAATGGTTCTCGTTTCATTTGTAGACACCCACTAATCGTTCAGACACTTTTCTTGTGCTATGTTCAGCTTGACGGCGAGAGGAATAAGCCGAGCTAAGCAGCCAGGCAAGTAATCGTTTGGCGTCAATTATGGTGTATTTTTGTCAGGAGGGATATTTCAGCTTACCGGTGTTCCGGTGTTCCGGTGTTCAAAGCATTCGTTCCAAATGCGAACATATTCATTAGCAATTAATATTGACGAATCTGTGACTGTGAAGGCGCATTACTATTCGATTGGGCAGTCGGAGAAAACTCTCGAATCTTTATATCTGATTTCAAAGTTGCTAAGTGATGGTCTTCAAAGTTAAGAGTGAAGTCTGATTTGTGCGACCGAAGCTTGGCAACATATTCGCCACGTTTGCAGTGGTCTATATTGATTATAGGCCATTCTAAGAGTGACTATATAGGTTTATGCCGACGTCAATGTCTGCCAACTGACATTACTTTACAAACTATACCTGCTGTAGGAATGCCTGACGGGAAAAATGCCAAGCTTGGATTTCTTAATTACGACATTTCCACCGCTTTGGAAGAACTCGACTTCACAAGAGCATTCGGACCGGGGATTTTGGCGGCTTTGTTCTATGGGATTGTGTCGGGATCGATGTCGTTTGTTAATAAGGTAAAAAAATCTCTAACAGCAGCTTTAAACTGTGATGGAAGAGAACGAGTGAGGGATAATCATGTTCCAATTTTGAAATAAATCAAACTATGTTAACTTTGCCTTCACTGATGAACAAATATCGTATGACCTTACTCAATGAATCACATTATGTAAGTTTTGTATCCGTACTTTTATCACATAAAAAACATCTGTTGGCCTATCAAACTTCAATGTTTTGAGAGTAAACTTTTGAAGTTTTCCTGCCCATTTGGGTGAAGGTTTTGCTTTGCCTACTCACTTGAAAGAGTTTTGTGCCTGTTGGCGGTGGCATTTGTAGTCAACAAACAGGGCAAAAATTTCAAGTGGGGCGCATCACTGATCACCTACTGATAAAATCAAGTGATAGATCTCTCACAGCTCGATAAAAATGACCAAACACTCCAATCAGTTTTTGTGGGAATATATTTGTTTACAATCTGTTGGTTGGTTGTAAACTTGCTGGTATCAAACTTTGATGTTTTCCTGTGAAAACTTCGAAGCTTGATAGGCAAGCAGAAAATGTGTTTATGCCACACAGATGGTAAACTTTGTATGGCTGCTTTAGTAATAGCATTGTGTGAGACTAACTGTCGTCACCAGTCACAAACAAGACAGAAAGGGCTTGCATAATTTGTCTTAATTATAGGTGTTTTTCTCCAAACTAAGGAGGTTTATCCACCGTGTTTTGTGTACTTAAATGATATATAACACAAAAAGAAAACACCGGTAAATACAGTTTGAACTTTAATAATATGGTCCATGGTAAAACAAATTATTGGTAGGATTTAAGGGAACATTTGTCTCCAAAATGTGTTATATGCAAGGACCATCTTTAGAGCTCCTGACTTTGCATGTAATGACACTCCAAGAAAAAGTCATCCCAAACAATTTTCTTGGACCATATGGTTCCAATGGCATCTTATTAAGAGCCTGCTTAAAACCAGGCTGGCTCTACATGTGAATGCGAGATCTCACTCAACCACTCTCTCCATGGTAGAAGTTTCAATGTGATTATGTGAGAAGGAGGGCTGGCTGAGTTCTTAGTTTTTGTGACCAAAGCTGGTAAATGTAAGGCCATGAACAGAGATAACACTTGAAAGGTCCTATCACATTAACTGTGGTGATTTAAGTGAAATTTTTGCTATGACTTAAATGATCCTTGAATGAAGTCTCTGTTTATTTTAGATAAAGAAATTTACAAAGTAATGATGGCAGGTCTCTGATGTACTCATTTCTGTGAAAATACTTCTCTTGTAAATTCTGACCTTTAAGAAAGGAAGTTGTGTGTGTGTAAATCCAGACAACATTCTGCACTGTAGGGAAACAAACAAGTAGCTGTTAACAATTATTAAGTGATGATTTTATCTTGGCAGATTGTAATGACCTCATATACCTTCCATTTTCCAAATGTTCTCATGTTGGCGCAAGTGATTATGTTATCCATTGCTGTTGAAGTTGTGAGGCTTCTAGGATATTCCAATACACCAAAGTACACTCTAGAAAGGTATATCTTACAGTTAGTGTGGAGTTTATACTCTAATTCTAATTATGATCCATCAATCTTTTTGCTTGTGTGCAGTGGGTCTAAATGTGAATACCATGTTTCTTTGAATAAGGGTCCACACTCTAGATATAAGTGCCCTTCCTCGAATAGGCACCCACCTTAGGTCATAATATCAAAGAACTGCCCTTTTAAAATATAGGCCCCCCTTTTGTCCCCCACTTTCTTAAATCATAGAGACACTATGGAAACCTGTTTTTATTGCCACTTCATTTATAAATGTTTAAGCTTCAACTACTACAGAATTATTACAGGTTAATAGTTTGTTATTGAGCCACCCCCCTCTATCAAGTGTTAAGTGTCCTCCCAATCATTGCCTGGGCATTTATTGAAGGAAATATGATCTGCCTCAGCTAAAAGTGGGTAGTACATGCATCTGTTGATATTCCTATATAATTGGTGTCACAATCCAGTTTTTCTGGCTAAAGCCAAAACATATTCATGGTAGCCATTCCTGAATTTTGCATCATGCTTAAGTTGGCCTTGATTATGGTTCTCATCTTTTGCTCCATGTGTTTTTCTCCTGTTTTTCTCGATTTCATCGTCAAAACTGAACGTTCTCAATTCCAAGTCCAACAGGAAACAGTGGACCAAAGCTTCCTTAATACAATAGATGTACTGTTATACCACTGCCCAAATCCAGCTACTTGATATTTGACAGTGTATTTTAACTACCCATACTTTGTAGTTGTAGTTTTTGAAATTCAGACTACATATCCATAGCAGAATATTGGATGACTGTAAAGGGCAGTGGATAGCATTATCCGACCTTCAAACAACAATTGGGCTAGTGCTAGAGTCTTTTGCTTTAAACCCCCTGTGATCTTGGCTCCCTGGCTAGTTGTATCTTCAAATGTGATTATAGCAATTTCATTTAACAGTTTGACTGTGTTTTCCTTGTATATATTTCAACAGAGGAAAGATGTTTTTTATTCCTTCAATATGTTTTGCCCTTCACACAACATTAGCTCTTCAAGCCCTGGATTATTTGACTATTCCAATGTATGTATAATCTGATGCAACATTATTTTTAACTCACCCTGATATTTGTATCAATTTATTAATTTAAAGGAAATGGGTAGAGACAGTTGTTGTGATTTGTACTTCCAATACAGTCAACTCTCTCTTGGGTGGACACCCTCAGGGGTAGAGACAGTTGTTGGGATTTGTACTTCCAATACAGTCAACTCTCTCTTGGGTGGACACCCTCAGGGGTAGAGACAGTTGTTGTGATTTGTACTTCCAATACAGTCAACTCTCTCTTGGGTGGACACCCTCAGGGGTAGAGACAGTTGTTGTGATTTGTACTTCCAATACAGTCAACTCTCTCTTGGGTGGACACCCTCAGGGGTAGAGACAGTTGTTGTGATTTGTACTTCCAATACAGTCAACTCTCTCTTGGGTGGACACCCTCAGGGGTAGAGACAGTTGTTGTGATTTGTACTTCCAATACAGTCAACTCTCTCTTGGGTGGACACCCTCAGGGGTAGAGACAGTTGTTGTGATTTGTACTTCCAATACAGTCAACTCTCTCTTGGGTGGACACCCTCAGGGATTGGGGGAAAAAGTGTCCATTAGTGGAACTGTCCATCTACAAGAATTATTCCCAGAAGCAACTCTTGTTAGTATCAAACAAATCGACAGCTTGCTTTCCTGTGGAAAAATGAGGATCTGACAAAACCTATCACCACTCTTCTGTTGCTCTGTCAAAGTTCGTATTTTTGCTAATTTGCTAAGTAAAGACAAATTTATTGCCAAGAGTTGATTCTTATCCTTGGAGTGTCCGCTTATAATAACTAAAGTTTTCGATAAGCAATTAAGGATAAAAACCAGTGATATTAAAGAATGACGTTTCGACGGCTCCATGTCATCATTCTCCAATTCAATTCTGCTTATGAGAGTGTAAACAACTGAAAATTCCAATTTTCCATTTCAAGTGTCTGTGTTGGCTTATAGTAAAGAGTGTGAGGTTATGGGAATGTGTCAATACAGAGTTTGATTGGAAGGCAAATAGGTGAATTAAGAAGTGTCCGTAAGTAGAATTGTCCACTCATTAGAATGTTTGTTAGTGGAGAGTTGACTGTACTTATTTTTAAATCACTTACCTGATTTTTATTATAATTTTTTTCAGTGTGGCATATTATTCACGTGATCATTAGACCCTCCTTTTAAACCATTAACTTTTAAAATTTTTATGCCAATATTTGATGTATAATCAGCACCTTTCATTTGGTAAATTTAGAAATTGTTATATGACCAGGGATTGTATCAGGAAGGAGGAGGAGGATATGATTTGAATTTTAAAAGTTGCTGTATTTGTTTTGCAATTAAAAATATTTGCAATTGAATAAGTAGATTCCATGCTGCCATGTGTCTGTCCAAACATAAATGACAGATAATGTCAAATTGTAGTAACTGAATACTAATACAAATAGGTTTTTCTGCAGGCTACACGCTTATAACTCAATATCTGTTAACTAGTTAAAGATAAGGTTTTCACAGATTTTAGTCTACAGGGCCCAGTTGTTCAAAGACTGATTAGCGCTAACCCAGGGTAAAATGTTAACCCCGGTTTCTAAATTTCTCTGTTCAAAGGCCTTTTTGGGATAATTTTCCCAATTCTTTTAGAGCTTTCAATCATCAAATTGTAGATAAATGGAATTAAAGTGAATTTTCTTTTAAAACTTTCAGATCTGAAATCAAATTTCACACAAACCGTGGGTTTTCTTAACCCGCCTTTGAACAACCAGGCCCTGGTCTTGTGTGAATATTTTTATGCAGCTTAAATTGTAAAGGAATAATTTGGATATATCAACAAAGTTGAAGTGGTAAAATGGCCACCGTAACGATTCCAAAAGCTGACGTTTCGAGCGTTAGCCCTTCGTCAGAGCGAAAGACGAAGGGCTAACGCTCGAAACATCAGCTTTTGGAATCGTTACAGTGGCCAATGTACCACTTCAACTTTGTTGATAATTCCAAGTTATTTTGTTACTTCCACCGACGCAGCCCCAAACAGTTTCTTTCGAAACTATCAGCCTTCATAAATTGTAAAGGGAGAAGATTGGAGATCATTAAGTCAAACAATATCATTACAGTATTAATTAAAAAGCCCTCACTTATAGGCACAAGAAAATTTCTCACTTATTAATGGTTGATATAATTATTGTTTTCTTTTCCCATTTAAGGTACAATGTTTTACGAAGACTTCTCCCCCTGACAAGTTTGTTGTTTGCTTGTGTTATGTTGAAAAAGAAGCCATCCCTTATGGTTGTTACATCTGTTATTCTTGTTGTGTTTGGTTGTATTACAGCAGGTGAGAAATGTCTCATTTTTAAAATTTTTGCTTACATGATGGTGGAAAATAGATCAATAACTGAGAGAACTATTTTATCCCCAAGCTCAAGATAAACTGCAGAATGTGTTGTCTGTTATAGTCACTGTGGTAAAAGTATTTGCAACAGAGAGTTTATTCAAAATTTAGCAATGTTACTAATCAATAAAGGCTTATAGTTTCTAAAGAAACTGTTTGGGGCTGCATTGGTGGGGGTAATGAAATAATTTGAATATATCAACAAAGTTGAAATGGTAAATTGGCCACCTTTACAATTATAAAAGCTGACGTTTCGAGCGTTAGCCCTTCGTCGGAGCGAATAGAGGAATTGTGGGTTGTGTGTGCTTTTAAAGGCAGAAAATGGAGCTACGTCTGCCTTTAAAAGCACACACAACCCACAGTTCCTCTATTCGCTCCGACGAAGGGCAAACGCTCGAAAAGTCAGCTTTTATAATCGTAATGGTGGCCAATTTACCATTTCAACTTTGTTGATATATTCAAGTTATAATGTTACCAATGATTTGGAGGTGAGACTCTTTGCTGATGTTTGTTTTTTTTTCTCTAGGATTTGGAGATCTAGAGTTTTCAGCCTTTGCTTATGCCTCTGCTCTGCTAAGTGTGATTTGCCAGTCTTTCTATCTTACCTACATCCAAAAGACAGGTGCAGAAAAGGGTCTATCAGCCCTGACTGTACTACATACAAACAGTGTCAACTGTATTCCTCTTCTGCTAATTTACACATTGTGCAATAAAGAGCTGCTGGCAGCTCTAAGATTTGATGGATACTACTTCATTGAATTTCAGGTTTGTCTCAGAATGTGCATTACAGTATTGCTTTTTAACTGTTAAAAGTAAAAAAAGAGCCCTATTTGCATGACTTTACGCTGGGACAAAGAGTATTACAAATGCTAACTCTGGGGAAAAAAAAAAGTGAACTTTGAAAATGAAGGTGAAGTTGTCCTGCAAACTTGAGTTGGTTAGTGGCCCATGTGAAGAGATCCTAATCCTGGTAAACCCTTGATTACTCAAAAATACCTTCTATAATTATGATGAGTTTTTTTCCTTTTTGTTATTTGTAAAATACACAATTCAGTTTTATGACTGCAAAGTATTATTCAATAAACAATCTATCCTATCTCATCTATCTTATCTATCTATCTATCTTTTTCCAGGCTGCACTTTTTCTTGACATTGGGATGGGCTGTATTTTGAGTTATTCTCTATTTTTATGCACAACAATGAACTCAGCATTAACAACAAGGTAAAACAAGTATGATTATTTTTATATTTACTTTAATTTGCACATGTTAATTAAACAATCCATTTGTGTTTTACACATATAAATACATTAGAATCCCAATTTCTTAACCCTTGGTTTCTTGGAACTTCTGATACTTTAAACCAGAGCTGGCTTTCCTCCTCTTGATATACATGTAGCTACAGTATTTTAATTACATGCATGGAAAACTTCTGGCATGTTCTTTGGCTGAGAACTTGTCAATTAATTCCAAACAGTGCAGAAAGTTGAAATTGAATTGATTGACAAGAGAAAGCAGCACAAAACAAAATGCTAGACAGGTTCAGAGGAAGTAACAGGGTTTAAGTTGAGAGTTTGAAGGAGAATGCCAGATAAAAAGTGCCAAACAAAGCACAAACAATTGGCTAAAAGTCTGGAAAGTTTGGGCTTCAAAGAAATAAATTGTTAATAATATTAGTACAAAACAGGATGCCATGAACAAAATTCCAAGGAATTAACAGAATAGTTAGAAGATTGGGAAGATTATAAGCATCAAATGCCCTTTATAATTTTCTCAAAGACTAAAAATTTCACTTGCCATTTGGGCTTGTGAAATTTTGTAGCTTTTGAATTATTTCACTCTTGCTGATTTATCCCAATTGCACTCAAAATTTTGTTTTATTGTTTTTAGTAAACACTGAGCTAGAGCAGTTTTTGACACTTAAGTTGGTTTTATGGCGTAATTATATTGTCCAGGTGAAGATGAAAAATCCTGTTAAAAAAAGTCCCGAAAATGGCAGTTTTTCAAGTCTTCATCAGAGTTGTGTAAAGTTGCATTTCAGATGAATGTTTTACTGTATATGTTTGATTAAAAGTGACTGGTTTCTTTCAGATATTTGTTGCATACCTCAATAAGATTTGTTAGAATTTCAATTATCAAGATCCATTTTTTTTCAGAGGCAAGACATGAAATCTACTGAAAATATTTTCTTTGAAAAATATACTTTTGCTATTTGGAAATAGAAGTTGAAGTACCTCATACTTAGTTTTTTTGGTTCAAAAGAGAAGGATGGAGGTGGAGAAGGGGAGTGGGGAAGGGGGACAAAGGGATTAGGGTTTGGGGGGAAGGGGGTGGTATAGCAGTTGCATCCCAAAGTCAATCCAGGATTGCAGTGGTTGTCATCACTGAAAATATGTGTCATCTACACCAATGTGATTCAAGATTTAAACCCATTGCAACTTGGTCACATTTATTTGCAATCAGTTATCAGTGGGTCCCTGTGTAAATTCCTTTTTTTTTTTTTTTTCTAGTTAGACATTTCCAATTATATTCTGATTGGTTTAGTGATAAAATGGCTCCCATTTGAGAGGTGCTCCAGACTGTAGAAAATCATTAGAAACTGACTCTTCTTTTCTTGTCAGCCTTGTAGGTGTCGTCAAAGGTGTATTGACAACCATCATTGGATTTTACACGTTTGGTGGAGTGGCTGCCACATCTTTAACACTTATAGGAGTTTCCCTAAATACCCTTGGGGGAGCCTTCTACTCTTACGCTAAATACTCAGAGAACATGGCATTAGGAATTCAGAAACATTTCCACAAGCATACTATAGAAATTGAGCCAGTTCTTGCAACCGAGGAACATATAGAAAAGGAAAAGATTGGATCTCGTGGCCTTACCAATTGGACTCAAAATAGTTTTGTGCCTGACGACTCCATGAGGTCATCTGCTGTTTTTGTAGAGGATCTTTCAAACGACTCAGACTCGGGTTTAGGATAACTCGCAGTTTGACAATGGAAACTGCGGTAAGAGTGATCGTATGGGTCTCTCAGATGGTAAGCTGGCTCTGTACCTCACCTTACAGTTTTACCTTGTGATTTGGAGTAGAAAGTTGTTTAAATAGGAAAAATACACTTCGATTCAGGGAACTGGCATTATGCTATAGCTGAGGCCTTCAGTAATGGTTGTTTTTCTGACTGGGCTATCTTGACCAGTTGTCACAGCAGTAAAATGAGTTCAGGCAACTTTGACATTGGCATAACTATACAGTGTCGTGTTAAGACTTAAGTCTTAAGGCGAGTTTTTCTCCAGTTTAGGCTCATTTCCCAATCTGGGAATGATCATCAAGGCCAATAGGTCACAAAACTTCATGTACCAACCATCTCAAACGTGTATCTTAACCTTCTTATTTAATTTTATTATAAAAAGGTCTTAACTGAAGAATATTTTTACAGTTGATATTATAGCAAGTACACCTCTTTTTTAACAGCTGCCACACTAAAACTAAGATATGAATGAACTAATCAATAAATACTGCGTGCAAATGATAAAATATTCAATAAATGAATAGTACAAGTTATTATATATATCGAAAGATAAGCCATCAGTGCTCGGGAACACATTTTTGTACCTACAAAGCAAAAAAGTCTCTTCAGATGGGGAAGGCTTTATTCTCTTGGTGACGTACAACAAAAAAGGATATCAAATAGATATCTTTTCGGAAAAAAACAGTTTGGTGCTAAATATCTCATCTTTTAATGTGTATATAGTTAAATGTGAAATAATTTTCGCAATTGAATTGTCATACTACTAGGAAATGTTATACCGGTTCTAACTTGAGGAAAAATTTTCTTCAAAATAAAGTTAAAATTACCGGTCCATCTTCAATATGCAAAACTTTGGACTGTCTGTTATTTTGTGGTACATGTATATTGATCCAAGTCCCTGTCTGTCCACATGTTTGCGTTTCTGTCTGCTAACGGAGATCTTTCTTCTCCGATTTGGTCTTCCGCATTTGAGTAATGTCCAGTACTGAATGCAGTTACGAAAACTGCGAAATTCACGAGAATTAGCAAGACCATCGACGAAGTCTACGGAATTAATTCAAGGGTTACAAGGAATAACATTTACGAAAACTGCGAAATTTGCCACACCATTAATGAAATCTACGAAGGATCACATGGAAAGCCCAACGAAATTTACGAAGATTATCAAGTTTACGAAAACTTCGAAAGTTAAGATACCTCGCTAGACCATCGACGAAAGCTAGAGCTCGAACCCATGTTCTTTGATCCATTATCTAGCGCTACACCATTATCTACATCCACTGTGTAGATAATCCACTGTTATCTACATCCGCTACATCCATTATCTACACCACTGTGTACCCCAATATGTGAACGGTCGAAATTAATGGTCAGAGTTCCCCTAAAATTTCACGCATTTTTGTAATTGTTTCAGATCAGGATTAAAGAAACTCAGGTTACATCAGGAACCTCTTCGACTGTTCCTGCATGACAACAGACAGATCAGAATTACACACCAGTTAATTTGCTCTTATTTTTTCCCCAAATAAAGAGGATTCCATTAATTAACTTTCTCTAGTTGATATTTGTTCACAATACGCTGCGGTTGGTTAATACAAGACAGTCATTGTTCAAGTACCTGTTACCTACCAGTTTTAACCAGTGTTGCGACCTTTGAAATGGCCGTGGCGCGTGCGCCAGAGAAGAAAGACGATTTTCGCGCGTTTGATCTTGCAATCATTTCTTGACGTGTATTGTTTACGAAATTAAATTTGATCTTGTTGAGCTCATCGGAGGAACCAAGAATTTACGTTTTACATTTCTTTTTTCCGATGAAGCTGCTCCTGATTTATCCGTTATTGAGGTGAGACTGCAAGTTAGTTTTCATCAGCTCAAGATGTCTGCCATCGCAAACCGCTTTGGATCTTGGATTGTGACGGTGAGTAAAAGTTCTCTTTGCCTAAACGAGTACATTGTTTCCTAAAGACATCCGTTTGACCTCTTTACAACTCTGGTAATGTGGTCGAGGTCGAGTGTGGACTAGTTTTGAATGTATTGTTATTCACTACAACATATTATCGATTCTACATAAAGTCCGCGAATGTGTATGCGCGATAGATTTTTTTTAAAAAGCGTTCTAACGACCGGATCGAAAAGGGACAAATATTGAACTTTTCCTGTCAGCCTGTGAGCAATGATGTGAGAGTATTTACGTTGGTTATGAATAGAAGATCATCGGGATATTAAAGTGTGTGTAAGGATCTGAGCTGAGCTAAACTAAAGGTTCAAATGTGTCGTTCGTCTTTGCGGAAAATTAGGTTTTAAATGCATCCAGTGTAACTGATCAAAACCAATCGTTTTTGTGTAACTTGATGTAGAATGGAAGTGAATAAGAGGAATCTGAGTTTAGATAGAAAAGGGGGAGGATAGTCCTTTTTTTTTTAACGTCAGTTGGCGGGAATCTTCATCATGGGTCAGGTGCGATACGTACGAGTCTGTCAATTTCTGACCGAGGACCTCTCGCTTGCTAAGGCTGGTATGGCTTCCTTTTGATGGCCATTTGAAACTTTGACCATCATATGTTGAGCCTAAAGGAATCCTCAGAAGTCGCTACGAGCGCAACTTCACCGGTTGCTGAGTCTTTGGAGTTATTGGCTATGCAGGTTGCAATCGCAACGATTGCAAGGGAACCAGGAATTTCACTGACGGGTAACCAGTCTTTTAAGATGAAATTACCTCACAGGGATTTTTCTGGTTGGAGTGAAATTTCTTTTGCCGGTTCCCGACTTATTGAGACACTAGGCTCAAATTTGCATGATTGCACAAAAATGCCTCTCACTACACCAGCACAATTATAGTTAACAATTATTCCACTCGCGCTTGTTGGATAGGAGATGATAGATAGCCAACGAGGCGCGTAGCGCTGAGTTGGCCATAATCATCTCCTATCCAACAAGCGCGAGTGGAATAATTGTTTTATTAAAAACGTTAAATTAAATTATTAAATTTTCTAGCTCCCTTTTAATTTTAAGCTGACGCGTACGCTTACCATATTTGTAGATTATGGTATATTGGCTCATATACCATAATAGCTAAGCCAATAAAAAATCTTGAATTGCATTATCCAATGATCCAGTTTTTAATAATANCGCAAGGTTTCAACTATCCTGAGCCATCCTCTTAGAGCCTACTTCCCTGAGACCAAGATCACGAGGTATAATTTGAGAAATAAATCCCCTGTCATGCCCGCTATTCGCACAAACCGTTTTAAGAATACATTTTTTAATAGAATTGTTTTTAAGTATAATGTAGCTTTGTGAAAGTGTACTTCCTGTATTATATGTAACATAAGATATGTAATTTTATCTTTTGAACAATAAAGACACACAGACACACAGACACACAGAACACTCGACGGTTAGGGTTGCTTCTACGCTAATTCATAGAAGATGAACTCATTGGTGTGTCAATGTTATCTGTCACTCAGGCCGTCTGAATGGAGACAGTTGTTGTCATAGATAATAAAAACTAGCCCTAAGCTGTCTCGCGTTTTTTCTTTAGGCTCTGATTGTTTTCTGCCCTTTGTATGTGAAAGGTAAGTGCCTTAGAAATTATATCGCATATCTTAGAGTAAAGTGAGCGACAGTGGTTTTACTTTGCAGTGAAAATGATACTTGATAGTCAAAGCAGTTATGCAAGATGGTGATCATGCAAACGTGAAACGATCTGTTTCCTCTTGGAAAATGAAATATATTTTTATAAGCATTTGAATATGGACATGGTGGGATACCTGGTAAAGGTGACTAAAAAGGAGGTGTTCTCTAAGATAATTATATGAAAATGATGGCCGATGAATCCTCGAAAGTCTGGGTTTGGAGCATGAGCTCGCTTCTTCATCATTTTTTTGTTCGAGGAGACCAAAGAACTAAGTATACGTTACTTTCGAGTAACCGATTCACTTCAGTTCCCGCTAGTTCCCCAACTCTATCATAACTTGGCCGAATCAAAACACGATAACTCAGACATCGTTGTTCATAGGCGATATTGCTCCAGACATCATTAACAGCTACCCAGATGAGACTTTGATGTATGACGATCCTATGGATCATCAACGAGCAAAACGTTCTGATGGACAGGAAGACGACGACAGAGCAGGTGACGATGATGATGAACTTGCAGATGAGGGATTCGACGATGAACATGAAGACGATGAAGACAATGATGGGAACTTGAGGACCAGTGTGAAAAGCTCTTACTCTTCGGGTATTCACAAGAAAAATGAGATTGATCAGAAGAATGCGATATCAGAAGAGCAGCAGCCCGAGAGCATTGATGATGACGATGACGACGAAAGCGGTGCGGATGAAGTAGGTTCATCTGAAGGTTCTTCTGATGACAGTGAGCGGAATGCTGACGGAAGTGGAAGTGCTGAAGATGGAAATCAAAGTTCTTATGCAAGGTGAGCCTTAATTCAGTTGATTTGTTTTTGCTACGAGATAGCCTGATCAGCCAGCTAGTCCGTATGTCAGACGGTTGATCTGTCAGCCAGTAAGTCTGAAAAAGATGTTTTTTCTTCGTATTTTTACGAGCGTGAGACAAAGAAAAAATTCTGAGTCCCCAGGAATATCATGTGCGTAGAATACGAAAGCCAGACAGTAAGTCCGTCTGCTTGTTTGTTGTCTGTCTGTCTGTCTGTCTGTCTGTCGGTCCATCTGTCAGTTAGTCAATCGTAGAGCCATTTAGCCAGCCAATCTTCAACAGGTCTGTCAGTCAGTCAGTCAGTCAGTCAGTCAGTCAGACAATCAAACAGTCAGAAAGATAGCAAGCCAGTCGGTCGGTCAACGGGTCGTTGCAATTACCAACCCAAAAGGAAAAATAACTAACACTACGGCGTATTATTATCCAACTGCGCTTCGTAGAGTACAAATAACGCGCGAGACGAGTACAAATATCACGCGATATTTGTACTGCAGAAATATCCGCGAATTTCGCCCGCGCTGAAATTAAAATTTGGCGCCGGTTGGATAATAAATCTCATATTAGACGTTTGGTCGTGTAGTTTGGCTGAGTATTTTCACTTGTTGTTTGTATTTTGACTGGCCGTACGGGCTTGTCAAACTACGGCACAACTCGTAAAAGATACTCAACGATACTACTCAACCAAACGTCAAGTAAGATATATTTACTGATTGCTGTTCTTGCCCAGAAAGTAAAATTTGTTTTCGAGAATATCAGCAAGCGATAGCTCGACGAACAAATTTGCTTAACTGTAGTTTGATTAAACTATATCTGACACTTCATCATATAAACAATTGTTTAGCTGACAACACGTTTCTGGTGAAGATTTTGATGACGATGCATCAGCAGAAAAAGATGAAATCGAAGGAAGCGGGGACATAAAGGGAGAACGGGGTAAACAAATGGAATCAGAAGAGAAAAAACCTGGTGTGAGTTTGCACCGGTCTAAGCCAAGAAACCTGATCAAAATGGTGCTGGAAGAATCGAAACAGGCGGAACAACAAGAAAGAGAGAATAACGACGAAGAAAATTCAGCCCAGGACTCGGGCTCATCATCGGGTAGCTTAGCTCAGGGGAGTGGTGATCAAAGGGTGTCTCATAAAAATGGTACAGTAGTAAAAGGAAACCAAACAGAGCTGCCACAGAATCACACCAATTTACACCAAAATATTCCAAGAAATTCTTCGAATGAAAAGTTACTACCAGTCAAAAGCAAAGCAAAGAATATGGTAAAGAGCAGTAATTCCAAACGTCTAAAGAACACAACGCTTCACGAAGTGAAAGCGAAAGATGAAGGACGATCTAAACCCCGAGTTAAGCAAGTTGACGTTGTTCATAGAAAAGAGGTGGTACGAAAAAAGAGTGTGAAAAAAGCATCCATTGGGATTTCTCATGTGAAACACTTGACAAGAAAGAGACTGCATAGCAAGTATATGACAGTCCATGCCGTGCATCCACAAGTGACAAAAAACCATTCAAAAGTCGTGCTCAAAAAGACTGTCAATAAAGGTACATTGAGTAATGCAATTATATTATCTAACTAGAAGATACCAAGAGAGGATCTGGGAAGGTGTTTTAAAATAGTTTTGTTTGTTTGTTTATTTTTTATAAAGCGATTTTCGATTGACTGCCTTAAAACCAAAACCAAGGTAATTACAAGGGCAAATCAAAGGAAGGAAATGCTATGAAGGGCCAGTGAAAACTTAGGGTAAAAACAAGCAAACCGCTTTCAAGTGCGAGAAAACGCGGGCTACCAAGTCGTGATTGGTATTAGTTCTGCATTCTGTTGGTTGCGAAGAGCGCAGGTTTTCTGGATCAGTCATAGAACAAAGTAAAGTAAAACCAACGCAATCAGCAAAATTTGAGATATGGGAATGATTACTTCTAGTTCTTCTCGTGATTTTTATCAATTGAGTTATCTAAAAATAACTTTAGGACAATCAGTTTAGGAAGACAGCTCACATATGGATTGAGCTCTCCTGGTTGATGAACAAATGATTATCATTTTAATGTTATTATTAATGATAATATTTATTACTGGATGTAATAAAGACGAAGAGAGGTTAACTCATGATTTGATGAAGTGGCAAAACTCTTGTTCCAAAAAATTGGAATACTATACCAATGTAATCAAATTTCTCAGCCGTAATTTCTTTAAGACGCCATGGTCACTTTGCAATTTTTCGTAGAAAAAAGACCGAGCTGCAATGATAGAACCCACTTATAAGAGCTCAGGAATTGTTGTCGAATCCTATACTTAATAATTTTCCATTTCATTGTTCAGGTTCATCACAGATGTGTCATACGGACAAGATTTTTTCCGGTCATTCCTTAAAAGGCAGCACTAGAGCTGGACATTTTGATACTCTGGGTGAGACCCCGAGCATGCAGGCTTGTCTTCAGCGGTGTTGCAGTAAGCGCACTTGTGACGTAGCGCTGTTGATTGATGGGCATTGTTTTGGTGTGGCTTGTTACAGCAAGGAGCTCTGCGAACCCATTCCAATACCTCATCCGCATTTCGTGTTCTCTCAGCTTGGTTTGGTCAGTAAAGGACAAAAGAGAGGAGAAATCGAGAAGAACCAAGGTAGATATCCTTTGTTCGGATTTTAAACAAAACTAATGTAAAGTTGGACACTAACGCGTATTTTGATTTAGAAACCTAACCTTGGGGAATCACAACGGCTTGAACTTAAAATAACACATAAAAATTAAATAGAAAATCGCGGAACATGTGGTGATGAGTTTAAATGTTCGCGCTGTCCTGGCTGAGAGGGTTGCCAACCAATCACAGGAAGGTGAATGAAAACATCAGATTTTACAGGCTCTTTGAGATGTCTCTTGTTGTTTCAGAGTGCTCTAGTTGGAGGAATTAATGAGACAGAGTGGCTAGTCCTACACATGTACGAATCACAGACCTATTTATTTCTATTTTTCAGAGTTTCATTGTCAATATGGTAATCTTACCCTGAAAAACAACGAACAATGGAGTGGTGAGCTTTGCGGAGGAGTTGTCACGTGCAAAGACGGCATAGCTACTGTGAAAAAATGCCCAGGGATTCCACCAAAACCAGATGACTGTACCAAGCCTCGGCTGCTGGTGAGACATAGGAAAGGAGAATGCTGTAAAATGAGATGGAAATGCAAAGGTAACAGACTTGTCGTCTTATAAAAAAAAAAAGTCTTTTAATAGGATTACACGATTACTGGTGAACCAGTAGTTTCCACTGTGGTCCTTGCAAACAAATGAAACAAATGGTCTAAACTGAACATAACATCATTAAGAACCCCAACCGGCCGGAGGCAAACCAGTTGGCTATTTACAAGCGTGGCCAAGGATGTGAACTCGGGGCTACCGTGAAACAAAATCCAGTGGTGAGGGTGGGACTCGAACCCGGGAGCGGTGGATTACGAATCTGACACTCTAACCACTCGGCCACACTTCCTTCCTTAGCTCAAAGATGGTATTTTCTGTTTGTTTGTTTGTTTGTTTGTTTGTTTGTTTTTACTGTTAATGATGATAGCAACAATGTTTTCAATTATTCAACCTTAGTTGCTCAATTAAGGAGAGGACAAAATTAATCAAGCTTTTATATTAGACAAACCGTAACCCTAAATGTTGAAAATGAAAAAAATCTAAACATAGAAATGGAGAGAGCAAAATTTTTTGTCCTCTCTTTTTCAACGAAATTGTTCTGCAGGCAATATAGATTTGAAGAGCAGCCATCACGGTAGTACCTACATGCTCTTCGCTGAATTACTCGAATTTGATAAAACCAAGCAAAAACACACCTTCGAAACATTTTCTTTGTGAAGTAAACTATCATGCTGGTGAAACGAATTTCTTTAGAGTAGCCATATGTAACGTTGCGCTCGCCATTCTAATTGTCGTCCATTTCGGAAAGTAAAAATGATCCTATGTAATGCTAATTCCTTCTTTTTCAAACTTTCTGTTATCTTACTCCCTTAGCTCAAAGATGGTATTTACTGTTTGTTTGTTTGTTTTTTTTTTTCGAATGCAGCCAGACATTGTAGTTTCAATAGTCGTGTTATCAAGCACGGTTACAAGTTGAGTGATCCTTTATGTACGGGAGTGCTGAGTTGTTACAATGGTTGGTTGCATATGGATTACTGCCCTAAAATACCACAAAAACCCAAGGACTGTGCGCGACCCAAGTTGAAGACTATCAGTGTTCCTGGACAATGCTGCCAGAAACTTTGGGTCTGTTCAGGTAGTTGAAAATAAAATCGATATATTACTGATATTACTGCTATTCACCTAGAGCCAATTAGCAAAAGTCTTGGGACACTAATTTTTCCACCCGGTAGCAATGATGCGTCTCTCCCTTCCTTCAAAGGACTCAGGGAACATTATTTTACTCAGCATTCCAATTTCCTTCCCCTTAGAAATTAGAATAATTGTCTCTTCTTCGGGTGGATCGATGTAATGATTACTTACTTAAAGGACCCCAGGCACAAATAGGAGCAGAAGTAGGGGTAAATTCATCGATATACTCCTTTCGGTGCTGATTTCAGACCGAGGCAAAATATGGAAGTGTTTTTGCAGGAAATATGAGAGGGAAAAAACATACAAGTTGTCATCGGAAAATGATACAAGAGCAACTTTTTTTAATGAATACGTAATTAAGGGAACTATTCACAGCAGTGCAAACTCAACTATTACAAAAAGCTTTTGGTGTCTTAAAAAGCCAACTGCATTACAATTGCAAAGGAGCCTATGAGATCTTGAAGAAAGCTTATGTAACTGACATTCGGTACTGGAAGACACGAGTATCTAGATAGTGACTATTTTTAGCTCAGGGTTCTTTGCATCCATTCTAGTCGAGGAGATAGTCGCACCTTTTTAAACCAATTAAAGAGAGGAAAATAAATGCAAAATAAAGGTGTAACGAAAAATATATATAACTACGATAAGGAATGGTCGAACAAAGCGTAATTTGACAGGTTGAAAACCAGCCTTCACCCAATTTATATGAAATATCGTCACAATCAAATTTTGTCTTCCACAGATAAGAGTTGTAAGTATGATGGCCTAAAGTTATCGCACGGAGAGAAACTCACGGATGCATCATGTGCAGTGGTCATGGAATGTAGAAATGGCTTCCTTCACGACAAACAGTGCCCAGGCCCTCCTCCGGTGCCGCGTGGCTGTATCAACCCCTCACTGAAGGTTAAGCGTATTCCAGGTGATTGCTGTGAGATGAAGTGGACATGTGACATCAGATAAAACGACCATTAATTTCGCGGCATGAAAAGGTTTGAATTAGAGCTTAAATTTCGTCCAAGGGGGGGAAATTACCCTGTGCATAGCCTTGGAATAACCGAGGTGTAATGCTCCACGGTAAAAAATTGGAAACTTCAAAACCAAATGCAGTAAACTGGGTCATTTCATTTCTATTAAAACCAATATTTCTACCAAAAGAAAAAAAAAATCCAGGGCAAATAGCTATGTTGAAGAGCTATAATGACTCTATGAAGCTAAACTTAAAAAAAAAAAAAATAAAAGAAATGAGCCGTCAAGAGATATCAGTGGTCTTTAATATATTATAAATAAACCCATAGTCAACGAAAATCAGGGTTCAAGGTTTGGACTCCAGATTACAGTGTGGCTGAGCGTTATATCAATCAAGAAAAAGGTTCATATCTCATATGTATTAGCTAGTTGCAATTCCATCTTTTCTCGCTGAAACGTGACGGCAGGAAGAAATAAAAGAAGTGAGGTGAAAGCAAAATAGGAATCAAAAAGAGAGAAAGTCTACTCTCCACGTTGACTTTTTGTTTTACCATCTGATGACTAGAAAAATAGACTGTGCTCCGTATATTAGGGTGGAATTTTGTATTTTCGATGTTAATGTCTTGATGTTGAAACTAAAGAAGGATCTATAGCTAAGATTAACTATTTCTAAGAGAAAATTGCTTTCCGTTACAAAGTGTAGCTCTCATTTTAGAGCATGAAAATTATGAATATTAATTGTTAATGACTTAAAATAACGGTTTTTAAAATAATTAAATCAATATTTTGAGAATGATTTTTGTCGTATGCCCGCTAGTAACAATACGTTTCTTTTTAGCCTACCCTTTTCTAAAATATAGACTCAGTATCTAACCTAGGGGAATAGGCCATTTTACAGTTGTGTACTTAGTTGCCAAGCCTTTGATTCAGAGTGAGGCTGAAGGTGACCTTGTTGTGATAGAGACCTGTATCTACTTAGCATGATAACAAAGTGATTTACATTTGAAAGGCAGCAAGGTTTATATCATAACAAGCTCACCCCTAGCCTCACTCCCATTCAAAGGCTTGGCAACCAAGCAGACAACTGTAAAATGGACTATTCCTTCCCTGACTGTCCGATCAATCCTGAATACGTCAAGCTTTAGCTTTTAAATGTTTTTTTTTTGCCCAAGTTCAATCGTCGTTGTATTGTGTTTTAGAAATACCTTTTATATCTCTCCGTTGAGGTTAAAAACACCCTTCATTCCCTTCCCAGTAGGGTTTGTTCCGATAAATTGCTTTGGTATTCTGTGACTCAAAAGACACATCGACTTAACTGTTGCTTATGAAGACTTATCCGTGTAAGCAGCATCCATCACTAATAATCACCGAATAAACGCCGTTAGAAATTAATTGAAAAATTTTAGCAATTGGATCAAACTTTCTAAGGAACTTGTGATACAGGCAAATACCCCCTTAAAATATTAAGCTAGCTTTAGTAAACTAATGAAGGAAAACAACACACAGCGGGTGCAGATTAATGTTGAGTAGTACGAGATTGTAGCCTTAACTCTTGAACTCCCAGATGTGACTAACATGTAAGTTCTCCCTATGATATCTGTATGTTTTCCAGCAAACAGGTAAACCTTACAGTAAACCTTATCAGGTAGAAGTCGTTACCTTGATCTGACCCCAAATTCTCGTAACTAAGTGACAAGGAACCGTGTAACAGCAAGAGGGGAGAATTAACAATCAGGTCTTGGGAGTAAAGGGGTTAATCACGTGCAGAGCTTTCAGTTACGTAGTTTGTGCGTGCATTTCTAAATTGCGTAGTTCACAAGCGCAAACACGCGTAGTTTTCAATTACATAGTTCACGCATGCATTCCTTAATTGCATACATCACGCGTGTTGTTTTATGTTGCATGGTTAATGCAGTTTTCGTTTGCTCTGGCGTCTTACTTGTGAACCATGCTTTAAATGATGCAGTCTGCGCACGGAGTTTTCTTGGGCCGAGGTTTATTTGGAGTATTTCCGTCAGATACGCCTGATCGTTTGTTTGTTGACTCCATAAATGATATACTATTTCCTTTTGGATTAAACACAAAGTAAATTATGAGTGAAAGTGGTAAAGCAGTAGAGAAGCGAAGATTTGGACATGACTCTACATGAGGTGCGAAACAATACTTTTCTAGTGACTTTATTGAAAATAGCTCAAAGTTAAACTTCGATTTCTCTTCTTAAACGTGAGTCAATCAGGGTCAAACTAAGTATATTACAAAGATCAAATATTGAAATTATACAAACTTTTATCAGACTTAACATTGACCCTTAACTTCCTTCGAAAAGTTGCATCAAAGTCGCGCTAACTTCAAAGAAACTGTTTTTCGAGAAGAAAGCGTCTTATCTGAGTTTAAAAGAAAATAACCTCCTGAATTGGGCTTTGCTTTCTAAAAAACCCCACAATACAGTAGATAATCAATTGTATAACTTACCTTCATACCAAACTCGCTATGAAAATCTTTAGAATCTTCGATATGTATAGATTAAGGTCGTTATACCGAGATGTGTGAAAACGCGGTCGCCATTTTGCAAATTGACACCGCAAGGCAGTGTGGGACATTCGCCACTCCTCCTCTGAGTAGTTCGTGTGCGCAACTTTAAATTGCGTAATCCGCTCGCGCAGCTTTCTATTTGCAGTTCTCACGCGCAGTTCGCGCGTGCAGCTTACGGTCACAGCTGGAGTTGCGATTTTTTTTCGGTACGAGCGCAATTTTTGTGCCAACATTTACATATATTCTGTTCTTCAAGCGCAGTTGCCAGTAGGAATTGCTTCGGAGTATATGTATTATAATATAGGTGACAAAATACTCTATTTTCGGTTTGCGACTTGATGAATATCTACCACTAGTCACCTCTGCTTCGGTAAATAGTTGTTAATTATTAACTTGAGAGGGATTTATTTTTAAATAGGCCCTGTATGGAGGAATTCAGTCTGTGAACTTTTTCTCTTTTGAGTAAAACTAATAAGACTTAAATTTCATTCAGAGAAACGGAAGTTAAAGATAAATGTGTGATATTTATTGTAGCTTGAATCTTACAGTTCTACTCTAATCAATATATGATATTACAATATATGATATTTATAGCTTGAAGATTCGGGAATAAAGATGCGTAAATGATACTATTCCTTCGAAATTTGTGTATTAATGAACTGTAAACTGTCTTTAATTGGATAACCAAAAATTTTTTATCAACGGCATTCCCGAAATAAACTTCTTAAAAGACCCAGGATTTCCTTGTGTCTTTGATGATCGCATCAACCGTAGCTTTAAGGTAACTTGCAAATTTCTTCAGTTTGGCCTGGCCGACAAGTTCTCAGTGACTTGTGGTAGGCACCCTTAAAAAGTATCAAAGAGAGTTCGCCATTGATCAAACACGATTCGAAATTCAACTAAAAACAGTTTTATCCTAGTTTCCTACACAATTCGCCTTTGTTCATAGGCGAATGCACATGTTGCATTGTAAACTGTACATCAATTACTTTCCATGAAAGTAAGTGTTCAGTTCATTCATTGTGGTGACCTCGCTGAGTTTAGGATGAAGTGCTTCATTTGCCTTGAGAAATAAGTTAGAATCGTCAAAAGGCAATCAGCTAAGGAAATAATTTCCCTTTATATTCCTTTATAAGGAGGAATGTTTTCCTTTTCAAGTTATTTTTCCCCAAGTGTCTGCGTGCTTGGAAGTTTTGTTTAACCTCGTTCCGATGGCCCTTTCTCTTCCCGAACCTTACGGAAAGAATTGAGAGCACGGAAATGAAATCGGTTTTGGAGGGAAACAATGTCTGATGGCAAAATTCGAGACAAATCGAAAGATTCGTTCATCAAAAAATAGCTTGAAAGGGATTATCTCGAGGATGAGGCCTTCATTCAGAACTCAGTTTCATACTTTGTCCTCTTACGTTGGACTTTAATTACTGACAATGATTGATTGCTCGTTAGAGCTTTTAATACATTTAGTGATATGATTTCCAACTCCTTTGAGTCAATGTATCAACACCATTCTTTCTCAAAAAGAAAAATGTTAGCAAAAAAGAAGTCTACTTTCTTAAATAGCCTGGCTATCAGCTACTAATTAAACCAACGCAAAAAAATAAACCTTTCAAAGTGAAATATATTTACAATCGTAGCAAAAATAAAAAATGTGCAAATTTTCCAGCCCACGAAAAATCTCAATGAAATAAATGTCAGTAAACAATAAAACTACCGTGGCATTGCTGGTCATAAAGCTAATATTCTTACTGTTTCCTATGAGCGCCATCAGCATGTCACAGTTTGTATATAACAGAAATGGCTCATCCAATCAGGGGCTGAGGATTACATCATCATTTACGGCAAATATGCATGTTTATCAAAACTTCAGTTTTAATCATCACCATTATAGATTTTCCTGAATCTTCAAAACCACAAAATTTAAAGAGAAGCGTTTCCGAAAACGTAGAACTAAAGTGACAAGGTCCAGAAATACGAGAAACTTGAACTGAATGGTTATGCACAACCCTGAGGTTAAAAAATCAAGATGACAAAAGGAAACTGCTTAAAGTTGTTGAGACTAAGAATGGCACTTTTGACTCCTTTGGAGATCTGTAAACAGTTAAGATAGAGAAAGCATTCCCAATCCATCGAGCCATAGTGACAGCAGAGTGTATAATGTTCTGTTTTGCGCATTGCGCAAAAGCGTTAAATCGTAAATCGTTACATATCGCAACTATATACAAGTTATCCCGGGGATAAATATCTCTTTAAACTAAAGTTTTCCATTAAAAGGAATTTTTTAACCTTTCTCAGATGAAAACTAAACCGGTCGTTTGGTAAAGTGGCTTATTTACAATGATTTCTATGTATTCCTCTTCGATGAGGTAATTCTCTAATTCACTATGTTACCTGGCAAGGCAAACTTACTTTACTAGGAGAACGAATATAACTAGAAATGTGTTTGAAATATCTTGAAAATTTTGTGTTCAAAAGCGAATAAACACAGATCATGTCTGTTCTCTGCTTAATACCAAGAGAAACAAAGTCACCCGTGCAGTTTATTTAGTTGGAGTGGCTGCGATTTTACGCTTGTCAAAGAACCTACCTTACCTTGGAACGAGTGAAGATACCTGTTGGCTACATTTGGGATTGGTGAGCTAGCATAATTTGGCAGCCTTCGTTAACATGATCCATGACTCTCTGCTTCAAATCACAGACTTGCTGTTTTAATGCATTAGCTACCGCGTTCAATTCAATATTCCTCTCTTTTAACTCCTTGACCCGTGTTTCCAACCTCGCCTCACGTTCCAGTTTTCTCTTCCTACACTTAGAGGAAGCGATTCTATTCCGCTGCTTTTTTCGCTCTCGTTTCACGATCTCTTGAACTTCCAGATCAATTGGTTGCAGAGATCCATGATCGGAAACTATCTGCCCTTGACTTTCCAATTTGTACCCAGACAATTCCGCTTTTTCTTGAGCAAGCGCGTTATGATACGACGCAAAGGCACGCAAATTCGCGTTGTTTTCAATATTAAAATCTTGATAAGCAGAGTATGGAGCATTTTCTGATTGATACGAATACAACGTCGTGTAGCTCGGTACACCTGAGGCATTATAAGGATAAATTGTGCCACCTTTTACAGGAGCAGAAAAAGACCCTCCGTTGCTCGCAAAGAAATCATTAGCATCCACGCGCGAAGAGTTTGAAGAATACACAACAGGCTCTGTAGAAGTTCTTATCGTGGTCGCAGGTACCGTCGTCAAAAAGGATGCATTTCTCACAGTAGTGTGCCCTAAAAATGGATCCGTAGACTCCGCGGCATTGTCCGCTAAATCTATCAGAGAAGACTCTCTGGTAATCTGTCGATCGTGTAGGTCTTGCAACGCATCAGTGAACCCACGTGAATATGGTTCGTGATCGTGATCTGCGTTAACCGGTGCGTGAACGTTCGAGTTAAAGAGCGAACTAGCATTCGAGACGCTCGTCACGTTACCCTGCAAAGACATGATCATTTTCTCCAGTTCGGGTGAACCGAGCTTAAGCAAACCCAGATCGGGTGACCGTAGCTCTGAAGGGGTTGCATGCTTTTTTAGATCTCCAATCTTTGGATCCTCCGCTAAAGGCTGTAAGTTCAAGTGCAAGGCTGACTTGTCAAAGAGGTACGGCGAAATAATGTGTGAAGAAATCCCTTCATCCTGATAGAAGGGAGTGTCGCTCGTCTCCTCCATCTAAACTACTCTACAGGGGCCTCGCTCTCCTTTATCTCCTTCACATTGCGGATTTTGTGTAGTCGCCCAAAGAAACTAACATGGATGGCTGACTTTGTTTAAAATCTTCCAACCTCCGGCGGCCGGGGTGAATTTCGGCGGGAGGTGATTTACAAAACGCCTCGTTCTTGATCAATGAGTAATCCCATGCCACTTGACTGATGTCATAGTTGAGGTTCACTCTGGTCTCTTCCGCGATTGTCATGGCGACAGAAATCGGGGCCTGATTGGCTGATGTTAATGTTTTGTGTGAAAGTCAATATTACCACCTGATATTTGGTAATTATGTAATATGACCTAACTCGCAAGGCGAAAAACGCCGGTGGCAGCCACGGCCTGTCAAGAAAAGGCGCGAACCTTTAAAGAGGTTCCTGGCGCCATTTCGGAATAAAAAGATACGCTTGCATCTCACGGTCAAGTGTTCCCTTATTAGGGTCTGTAGTAACATACTTTGCGCGCCGTAAACATGATTACTGTTGTAAATTGTTGATTTTACTTGAGAAACCTTTTGATATTTTGGCAAGTTTAACGTCAAAAATGTCTGTTATCGATTCTGTATATGTCTGAGGTCTGCCAACAAGCCATTAAAGAGTTTGACAAACTGAATTCTGCAATTTAAAGATCATAGTATTCGCGATTCGATGAAAGTTTTACTTTATCGATGTTTTACGGTGTTTTGATAGATAGATAGATAGATAGATAGATAGATAGATAGATAGATAGATAGATACTTTATTAACGTGTCAAAGAACCTTCTAGTTTGGGAGATATCCCATACTAATGTGGGGACACGAATAAAATGGAGAAAGATTATTTACAAAGAATATTACCTACTTCATAATAAAATTAAGTCATATCATGTATGAAAAAATATGAAATGAATTAAGAAGTACATAGAGCACAGCCCCTGCAGCCGTCATCTAATAGGGAGCCGAGGTCACGCTTACGTATGCGGTTTTTGAAACTAGCTAGTGTTTTGGCCGATCTGTCATAAGCTGTCAGTTTACTCCATAATTTAGGTCCTAAATAGCGTAGTGAATGTTTGCCGTAAGTTTTTGTGTTGTATCCAGGAATAGAAAGTCGGCCTGTCTTAAATTATAGGAAGCGTTGTGTTTCTGAAATATGTTACAAATATTCAAGGGGCTAAGGTTGTGTTTAACTTTGTACATTAAAATGCATATATCCTGTAAGCGTCTGTTTACTAGCGAAGGTAAATTAGCTTTGTGCAGCAAACGTTCATAGGTGGAATGTTTATCTTTGAATACAGCCCTTAGGCCTCTTTCTTGAACTCTCTCCAATATCTGCGACTATCACTAGACTTACAAAAATGCCATGTGAGATGGCAGTAGGTCAGATATGGTAGAATGGCTGCCTTAAAAAGTTGTAATTTTGCATTTRTTGGAATCAAGTTGCGGAGTCTCATAAGATGGCAGCCGTGAACGAGACTAAAAATAAGATGGGCTAAGAGTTCCGTTGTTATTTGTTGATTCGTTTCTTGATTTCCACTTGATTCTTGAGTAAGTTAATTTGGTAATCAAAAGTTGTCCCTAAAGTGCTAGTCTATTTTCGGATTAAGAAAAGATGACCTGGGACAGAAAGTTATTTTGAATTCTTTAAGATGAAATTCCCTGGTCATGTCTAATCATTATTATCATTTGATCTTCAAACAATTTGAAATAATTGCAATGGACTGCAGTTAAATTAAAGTCTTCGTGACAGGAAGCATTTCATGACCTAGTGTCCTTGGACCCCATGCCTGACCTTATCTTTTTATCTAGCTTTTTACAGGCCAATTTACATCATAAACTTAGTTGATAAAACCAAATTCTCTTGTTATACTCTCCAACTGACACAAAACCACAGTTTCGTTAGAGACCTATCCCCTTCTTTACAAAATTTATAGGGCAAAACACCACCCAAGCGGTAGAGCGTAATATTAGCTTGCACGAACAAATCCTCCAAAACTACAAGTCTTCAACTGAAAGACTGCCATTGCAAAAGCAAGAATATTACACACCTTCTAAAACAATCATGAAAGATCGAATGTGGTAAAAGTGCAGTATCAAGAAACTCCGTTACCATGACGGCATCGATAGATGCAAGCGGAACATTCACTGCTCGCAGGAAACAGTAGAAACTCGGGTATTTCGTCAATGTTATATATATGAACTAAGGTATGGAATAAAAGAACCAAAGTTTTGATTTGCAGAAACGCCATCGAAAGAAGTGGGAAGCGACAGGCCTTTCGGGTTTTTAACTGGATTTTGGGCCAATGTTCGATGTTAAATTTGTTTATAAGGCGGAGAAGAGAAACATCATCCTTCTCGCATACTTCTAGGATCAGCACAATCGGAAGCGGATCCTTGTGTTCAACTACTACGAGGAGGATGGAAATTTTTATTAAAGGTTTTCGAATGAAGAACGACATCAATTATCAATGCTTTTTTTTTTCGAATGGTAGCTAGCCTGCATTTCCGGCCGTCATGTTTGATTTTGTACTTTCCCTTCTGAAATAAGTTGTTCTTGAGTTTTATAGAAATTGGTTGCCTCTGACTGTTGTTATTTTTGAAACAGACGTTTCGGCTAATGCTTAAGCCTTCATCAGTGATATGAAAAACGAAGATCGTTATCATACGCTATTTAAAGTTAAAAACGTGACGCGAAGCTTGCGCGCGTAACTATGTATTTGATGCTCGCGCGAGGTCTTTATAGGCTTCTGGAAGTACGATGTGATCGTTCCCCGCATTCCGATCCAAAGTAGAGTGCCAGGCTTCAAGGAAAAGTCTCTCGTGGTAATTAGTTTCGAAACCTTTCTCCAACCTTTCTCCGCTTTGGGAATCTAAGATAATATGAGGAAGTATCTGACCTTCTCTCGTCCAAACTGCCTCACAATTCAAGCGAAAAACAATGCGTTAAGGCAGCAACTGATATACTTTTTCATAATCCACGCAGTAGATTTCTTTCCGAGCAGAGTAAGAAAGATTTAATGTGCTTCAGGTTCTTTACAAGAAATGATGACATCAAATTTACAATTTTCTCGTCGTCTATTCATATCGTCATCTTGGGCGTATAATCGTTCGGTGCCCCCGGTGACTTCCTAGATTTTAAAGAAATCCTAACATGACGAGTTATGAAACCGATATTTTTTTGTTATATTGCGTGAAACAACATTAAGTTATACAGTTCAAAACCTGTGGGGCGTGAACGAAAACAATCATAAAACTGGTGGAACGGACAGGTTTAAGAAGTACTTGTCAAATAACTTGTTACTATGGTGATCAATATCCATCAGCTTTATAAACAGCACATTGACATGAGCCAAAAGTTTATCTCACTCACATTCTTAGAGAAAACGATATCAACCTCGTTTTGATGCTGGATCCATTGACACAGTGATTGGCTTATCTATGTGGCGTCAACTTTGTATGTGAATTAGCTCAGAAAGGTGGGGCAAACTTGCTTTGATAAAGAAATTCGTGAGGCCTATTCTATCTGTTGGAGTGTAAAATATCTTGGGGCTTGGTATATCTGGTATCATGGAAATGAAGACGAACGGAACATTTACTGGGAAGAAATATATTCTGTGCTTTATATTCCATTCGAAACCTGAGCGGGACAAACCAAGCTAGGCGGCTCAATAATAATTTCAGACTAAACCGGTAAGTTGCGTTGGTAATAATAGAATTCTAACCTGGTGGATGCATTATATTTTACTTCTCATGAGTTGACCGTACTCTACCTTAGCTTAAATCTAACTTGTAACTGCTCCGAAATTAAAAGAGTATTTTTATAAGTGCACTTAACTTATCCTACATCAAAGTGAATTTCGCGATTTTAACGATGTTCACAGAGAAGTAGTTGAGTGAATGCAATGAAGAAATAATATTTTTACATTCTAACAATTTTTGCCTTGTTTATTGCGAAGTTCGGTTGGCTACCTTTAAAGTAACTTGATATAATCGAATAGAGGAATGATCTTGTCCGTATTAATTGCACACTTAACCATTGTTTTGTTCTTAATACTGTAGTATCTGCCAACACTGTATATTCAAGGATTTGTCTTCATCTTCTTGGAAATCATTTTCTTTTTTCTTATTTTTGGTGGATAGTGAGCATAAACGATGAGATGAAAGAGTCTCAACAAAGAGAGGAGGGGACTTTGGAATTCTTAAGTGATTGGTCAGCGCAAGGTGGGAAAACGGATCGCTCCAGTTCTCTTTGTCGGAGCTTTCATATACTGCCTGTATGGACCCTCGAAATTGAGGTTTGAAAAAAAAAAAAAGCCATTACGTACATAAAAGCTCTTTCCTTCCCTTAGACTGTAGTATTACATTAAAATTTTACTTAGCAATACTTTCCCATATAAATCAGAGTCATTTGTTCAAATAACCTGATAGAGGTTAAATAAAGGTTCTGAAGTATGCTATAACTATGCTATACCAATCATCGACAGAAGCACCTGAATACGGATCTATTCATCAATTCATGCTCAAGTAACAGTTATTCACTTTGCTATAGTCTTTGCCTTAACAGATATACTTCTGCCTCTTCAGCCTCTAAACTCCTTTACTTCTTCTTAAAGGTAATAACCTTATGTAGCCTCATGACGTAACATACTGTGACTGACGGATGAAACATATAGCAAAGATTCCACCGCAAAGACTCTCGGGAACAACCCATGATCAAAGCCCTGACGACGTCTCTTCAGTACCTGACAAACACCTTGGACTGACTTGACATCTAGAACGACTGACATACACACGGACTGTTATGTCTGGTTGGTTAATGCACAGTCAACGAGACGCTGAAACACTGTGAAAACGCAGATACGTATAACACTTCTTACTTATTCCGACGCGAACTAAGACGCCCGCGGGAAATTGCCTGAGGAAAAGGACTGGAGGGAGTGGGAGTTGTGTTTGTAAATCTAAAACATTTGGTCTAAAATTTCCAAATTATTTAATTTTTTTCTGAAACTTTGCATCTTTGGTCTAAACAACGCAATTATTGCTGTCATTTTAATTTTCATCACACTTCGTAAAAAAAAGTTTTGATTTGGGAAGACTTTAAGTGTCGTAGAGAGGTAGATGGCTTTATGACATAATCTAAGTGTCGAAAAGCCTTTGAGCAATTCTATCACCAAGGCAAAATTCTTTAGCCACAAAATTCATTTTCTTCAGCATCAAGAAGCAGCTATGATATCGAAACTGATACGGCTACCACATTCATCAAAATTATTCAAACTTTTAAAAGCATCTAAATTTTTGAGGTCAGGGAAAAGAGTATGATCACATCACCACTGCAGCTGATGTTCACAACATTTGATATAGAGGATATTACATGGCCGCTTGGGGATACGAATTTTATCTTCTCGTGCTGAAAGTATCTCTCAACTCGTTCGCTGCGCTCACTCGTGAGAGATACTTTCAGCACGAGAAGATAAAATTCGTATCCCCAAGCGGCCATGTAATGTTCTGTTTATTATATAAATACTGATAAAATTTCAAATCAACCGACCGCGCGCCTGAGCGAGAAGCCCTATCGTAATTGGGTAATTATGTTGGTAACCATGGCCACACCAATATCCTCACACGTGAAAGATAAAAATAGTATCTTCACTGCGCGCGGTGAAGATATGATTTTTTCGGTAAAAGGAGAAATTCTGGTATTTCATCAGTATCTATATAATAAACACGATTCTCACACGGAGTCCAGCTAATAGTTTTTCCTTGGCAATTGACCACGGTGTTGAACACAAAGCTCACCACAATAGAGACTTAAAGAAATTTATAGACGTTTTTATCTTCTTGAGTGTAATGCAAAGGTGCTATATGTTAAGTTGTCCCTTGTACGTGTGTGAGAAGCGTTATTTGTCTCCGTATTGTCTGTGATGTGTTGCAATCTTAAGTAAGATCACTGTGTGTATTAAGGTGCTTGTGTAAACGTCTTTGTAGTGACTTTCATGTGGGGGTACGAACAGTGTCTGTCAATCTGGGTACTTGTTTTATATCTAATTGATGCGTCAGTGTATGTTTCATTTTTAACTGTCAGGTGCCAAAATATACTTCGTGTATCATCAATAATTTGAGCTTCTCGTGCCCTATTCAATGCAGTGTAATCGGCCTGTCCTCTGTTGTCAGGATAATTGTAGTCTCTTGTGTACTTGTCCCTTGTTTACTTGTTGTTTTGTATTTACTTCTACTGTCATCACGCACTGTCACTTTGTTTTATGTATTTCATGTCTCTTATGTTGATGTTAGTGCTATTGTAAGTCGTGTCATAATTTTTTGGAAGCGGAGCTTACATCGCGCGTGCAGCGAGGCCCATACTTAAAAAAGTGATAGCAACCATGAAGCCGAGTAAATTTGGTCTTTCACGTGACCGTGCGTCCGTACAAGCTGCTATAATTGTGCCAGTTTATGTGATGTTTCACCCATCTCTTTTTTTTCCCGCTGGTTGTGAGGTATATACTTTATACCTTTGTGTTGCATAATGATCAACCATCGTTTCTGTTTCTCCGCTGTTTTTTTAGTATCCTTTTTTATTCTTTGAAGTGGAAGACCCTACGACTGTAAAATATGCTGTTTGATGTTCTTTTTACTGTTTTCTAAATACTGTAACCGTGTTTTGTGTTTAGTGTTAAAGTTATGGAAGTGTTAACTGGTATCAGAAGTTATTGGTATCAGAAGTTATTATATTGTATCAATCTTCCATGCTATCTCATGTCGATGAAGATGTGTTTTGTACTATGTTAACGCACTTCTGTTTTCACTGTTAAGTTGTGTTGAATTATACTTTCTTATAAGTGCCCCTTTTTTTTTAGTTCCTTTTCTCATGTTGACCTGTACTGGCACAACAATCTTTCAGAATCTTTTGTCTAATGCCACTTTTTTCCTTCTTCACATTACAACTCATGCGAAGTAAATTTGTTTTTTGTCCTTAATGTTATTTTGTGTTATTGTCTACTTCGTTTTCGAATTATGTCATGTTTACATGTTTCTGTGTTCACAGTTAACCTTTTTCGATTTTTATGTCGTTTATATTGTCTCTGTCCTGTGCTCTGTTGCTTCTTTGCATTGTGTGCGTGATATTATTCCATCTAAATGTGTGTATAATACAACATGTTTTGTAGTGTACCATGTTAGTCTGTTGCGTTGTGTTCATGTACCGTTTTCACTTGTCTTCATGTTTACTTCGTTTTTGTTGCCTTTAATCCTGCCTTTTTGTCGCGTGGCTCTCTTTGCCTTGTTCCTATCGTGTATCGTGTTGGATTAGTCCTCCTGTTTGTCTATGTCTACATTGTTCCTGTGTATTTGTTCTATTTTGTTGCTATTCGTGTCGCTGTCTATGTTTCAACTTGCGCAAGGTAACTCTCTACTGTTTACTGAATTTGTCTGCTGTTTTCCACCTGTGAGTGTGTGTGTGTGTGTGTGTGTGTGTGTGTGTATGTTGAACAGTTGTTTTCAGTTTGTATCATGTCACTCAGTTTCTTTTATGAGTTGTTTGTGTTTCGTCTCCAGCAGTTGTTTTTGCTTGTTTTGTTTTGTTTTGTTTTGTTTTGGGCACATGTTTAGTGCGCCACTATCATTGTATTGTGTTTACTGTATTGTTCTTTTATTTTCGTGAGCGCCACTGGGAAAAGACTCGTATCATGTTCTCCTTACGAGTGAAAGAAGATCATGTTTCATGCTTGTTACTAGTTGTCCGAACTGATTCCAGCTATTTATAAATTGTTTACGTCAGTCAACGTACCATTACTTATCTCTTTTCTACCGTGGTTGTGTATGTATCTTTGTTTTTACTTCGTAGTTCATGTCAGTAGATAGCAATGTTGTTACTGTGTGTGTCACCGCGGTGTATTGTGTCACTTCCACATCGCCTTCTTTGGCCTAAATGTTCATTCTTTTCTGTGTTTATTATATTGTATCGATGTTCGTGTTTTTGTTTGTGTTTTGTTTATGCCCTGGGTAATTTTTTATATGTGCCAACTTCTGTTTGTTGTATTTCAGATTTTATCTTGATGTTATTTCCCAGTTAATTCAGTTGTCAATCCTCACATGTCTTCATTGTTTTTCGTTTCAATGTTGATTATGTCATGTGTTAGTGATTTTACGTTTGTTAACATCTCTGTATTCTGTGTGACATCCATCATTTAGCGTTTAATATCAATGGCTGTACGTTGTTTCTGTTTTCTCGCTGTCTCGTTCTTGTTCGTGTCTATTTTACTGTGCATCAACTTTTACCCCTTGTTTTCTAATTGTGTTGTGTCTATTGTTTCGATGACCATTCTAACATTATTCTGTTCTTTGTTACGTCTGTACTTTGTTCTTGTTGTTGTTGTCATTGTTGTTTTCGTTGTTGTTGTTTTTGTTTTTGTTTATGCTGTTCTGGTGTCTTGTGATAGTAAAATCATGGTTCTCATTGTGTTTGTTTGTTGTATGTCATCTATTACCTTGTTCCCATAATCATTTGCAGTTTTTATTTTCTGCGTTCTTCGCTCTATATTGAGAAGTAAGACTTAGAATTATTCTGGTAATCACGCAATGAAAACTGTGTTCTAGCTATGTATTCTTTCACCTTGGGCCATTCAACTTGATTCCGTATGTTTTTTGTTTTGGTTGTTGTATCTCATCACTTTCTAACGTGGTTTATTGTTGACCGATTGTTTTATAACTATTCTATATGAGATCTACGAAGCAAATAGTCTCTGTTCTTCAGTATTTTTTTGTTTCTTCGTCTTCTTGTATCGATTTGTTTTGTATGTTAGTATCACCCTTATAAATAATAGAGTGTTCTCAGTTGTGGCATTGAGAGCGTGGAGCTTAACCATAGACTCGTTAGGCCATTAATGGCTTCTCGAAGAGGAAGATTGAGCAAATCGACAGTGGTTTAGCGTGGTCTGTAATCATATCGACGACGGTATTCGTGATCACAGTAGTCAAAATGTTGTTCGCAACAAAATGTTGAGCACCGTCATGACGAATATCGTTGTCGGTAAGAGTACAGACCACACTAAAGCGCTGGAGATTTTTTTTACCACAATTTCGACGTCAAATAAAACGATTCTTTTAATGTTGTGTTTATTTAGTCTTCAGTCTTCTTGGTTCAACGTACTCTGTATCATTGTTGTTTACTCTGCGTTAAGTTTTATGTTAAACCATTGTCTTACACTGATCATGTATCTGCGTTATTTGTTGTCTTGTCTTTTTGTTTGTATCGCGTTTCATGCCTTAAGTTGGTGGTTTTGATTCTCCTCAATTATTTGTTTAGTTAAGTTTTGCGTTGTTGGCATTATTGTCTTGCAGTGATCATTTGTCTGCGTTCTGTGTTTTCTCAGTGGTCTCATGTTTGTATCACGCTTTATGTAGAAAGTGATCTTGTTTCGCCTCACTTGTTTGTGTTATTTTTATTTGATGTCAACGTCGTCATTTGTACCGTGTATTGTATTGGAGCGAGGTTACAAATTTTTCTAGAAGTTTCTTTTTATGTATTGTTTCATGTTATTATTTTACCATATGCTAATATGTTTCTTTTGTTTTATCTGTGTCGTGTAAACTTAATTTCTTTATACCGGACATTTTTTGTGTTGGTGAGGTTGTCTTGTGTTTTACGTGATTTATGCTTTGATTCTGTGTATTTGTCAACTTGTGTTTGAATTGATTATCAATTTGTTTTGGTTTTATGTGAGTTTTGATCTATTCGTTGTTTCTGTTTGTCATTTATCTTTATTAGCCTGCATCAGCCTTCAATTTTCCATCGACATTTCTATTTGATCATGTGTTTTACTTTTTTTGTTATAGATTGATGGAAAAAGAATTTTGTCCGAACAGCCCAACTCTGTGGAGAATCCTTACCTGCTTTGTGCTGTCGAAAGTTCAACCCTAAATTTCCTGAAAGTTTTCTTAAAAAAAGTTTTGTTATTGAGGACGGATGTAAAAGTTTCCGTGAATATTATAGTTTCTTGTTGCTTTTTGGCGCATTAGAACATTGTGAATATAATTTAGCTGGCCAAAAACTTCTTTGTACGTCCTTGCATTTATTTCTTTACTGTAATGTACTCTATATGCTCAGTAAAGTCAGGCTTTTGCGAGAGTGAGTGATCTATTTCAAAAGATAACTTCGTTCAACCATTTAAATCCCAAATCTGATTGTTAATTTCCCCCTCCAGCTTCAACAAAACTCCTGTTTAATAGTTATGGGATTCGGTGCTGGATAAAAACATCAACTTCTACCTGATACTTTTGAGTATTCTCATTACCTGTTTGCTGGATGATGTATGGGTATTATAGGAGAGTAAAGGCTGATATTCGCTCCGACGAAGGGCTAACGCTCGAAACGTCAGCTTTTGTA